AGAAAGAAATGGGGACTGTGACTGGGGAGGAGACCAAAGCTGTTCACAGTCAGGATAGCAGAGGCTCTAGCCTCAAAGCTTCTCAGGACTGGAGTTATAAATACCAAGGGCCCAGTAATACGGGTACCTCTCAGATGACTAAAAAAATCACAGGATATAAAATGTTTACCCTTAAAAATATGTATGAGTTCATCTAAAAGCATCTTTTGCCACTATGGGCTCTTGAAGCAAAAGTGTACAAAAGGCTGGTTTAGTTAATTGGGGCTGGAGAGATGGCTCAGTTGTTAAGAGCACTGGCTGCTTTTGCAGAGGACCTGGGTTCAATTCCAAGCACTCATATGGCAACTAATAATCATCTGTAACTACAGTTCCAGGGGGAATTTGACACCCTCTTCTGACCTCCATATGCATTGCACAACATGGATGCACTTACACACATCCAGGCAATACATTGATACACATAAAATAAAAGTAATAAATGATTTTTTTAAAGATTATAAGAGCCAGAGGTGGTCAATGAGTACAAGGAAAGTGTGGTTTCCAGAAATAACGGAAGAGTTACACATATGAATCCACAGTACTTGTGAAGCCATGCACAAGACCTACATAAGCCCAATCTGGACCTAAGATCAACACAGAGGGAGAATGTGTACAAGATGTCCCAGCCCTGCCTGTGTGGGGACCTAAAGGCCCCAACTTGCATAGGTCTGAAAGGAAGTTACTGGGGACGCGGCCTGGCTTGCTTTGAAAGTCAAGAATACTTCCCCACTGCTGGGTGCACAATCAATGCGTGACCATCCTTAAGATACACCCTCGGAGGGGGAAGGGGGAGTTCCAGGTGCTTTTATAAGCTTTGGAACACTTGCAATAAATAAGTCACTGCTTGACTAGGCTCCCCGTTGCATCTGAGTGTCCCCAGGTAATGGGGGCAGTGTGGGCTGGCAAACGGCGTGCTTACTCATCCCCAATTCTCACCTCGCTGGGGGTCACGGGTTCGAGTCCCCAGCATCATTCTTGTTATTAAAAGCCCTTCCAAGAAGGCTGGATAGTAACTCAGTGGTAGAGCACTTGCCTGGCATGCATAAGACCCTGGGTTCAACCCCCAGCACTGTGAGGAAAGGGAAGAAAAGTAAAGTTGCTTCAGCTCAGCATGGTGGTACATGCTTGCAATCCTAACACTTGGGAGGCTGAGATAGAAGAATCGTGACTTTCAGGCCAGCCAAGACTCCAGAGCAAGTTCCAGGATAGCCTGTACTTAATGGCAGAGCTATGTCTCAAAACTCCAAATACCCAGGCATGGTGTCACACTCCTGTAATCCTGGCCAGTGAGAACTGGAGGCAGGAGGGCCAGGAGTTCAAAGTCAGCCTCAGCTACCTAGAGGGGTCAAGGCCAGCCTGAGATTCATGAGATCCGGTCCCTAAAACACAAAAACCTGGTCTGTGTGTGCTGTGTCATCAAGTGCTTTGCACATAAAACATATTTAGTTAGTTCTCTCAACAACCCATATGAGGTGGCTCCCCTGAAAACATGCCACACTGCAGATGAAGAAACTGAGCCAGAGAGCAGCCGAGTCATTTAGTTAAGATCATGCAGGCTGTCAGTAGCAAAGATGAGATTCTGAACCAAGCAGTCAGATTCCAGAGCCTGGGCTCTTTCCTAGAATCACCTCCTCTTCACCAGAGAAAAAGCATAAAAAGGTTTTATTCTGGGACACTCTTGTCCTCATCTAAAGTTCTCTGAACAAAAGCTGTCTTTCTCAGGAATGAGTTTGCCTTCAGTGGGCAAAGGGAGACATTGGGCACACATCAAGAGCTAAGGTCGGGCTAAGAAGTTGACTTCTGAGTGGACTATTGAGTCCTTGCAATTGAAACAGCCACTCTAATGCTCTGGCACAGTATTAATACCAGTTGCCTAGTACCAAAAAGAAAAACTCCTGGAAAGGAAACACAGGATTGCATGCTGCTTCCTGTCTGGGTTGGATCTGGAGGAAAGGGGAAGGAAGGGGGAAGGGGGAAAGGGGAAAGGGGAAAGGGGAAAGGGGAAGGGAAGGGAAGAAAAAGGGAAGAAGGGAAGGGAGGAGAGAGGAGAGAAGGGGAGAGATTGCAGCAGGTGGCTCCACTTGGTTCTTGCAAAATGGACTGTCAAAGCACTTGTGGCAGAATATTCTAAAAGCAGGTTGAAAACCATGACATTCCTCCTCGCCATATAGCAACCCTCATACGCATTCATTTTTGTGGAAAGTGAAGGTAAAGCACTGGAAGATTGTTCATCTGGCATGATGGGCCCTCCAGCCACTGCCTCTCAGTTGGCCATCCTGCTAAGCATAACCAGCTGGAACCTACTTTTGTTCCTTTGGGAACAAAACTTTGCCCCTGGGCTTGAAGCTCTATCATTGAGCAGTGAAGTGTAACTTTAGCTACATTCTCTCTCTCTCTCTCTCTCTCTCTCTCTCTCTAAAAAAAAACCTGAAGGAATAAAACTTAAGTAATACAAACTGAAATAAGCACTATTCGAAAAAAGCTCACAAACCAGAGGTTGCTACTTCTAATATTTTATGTCCAGTGTGCATATAAAATTTAATAGTCCTTGGATACTGTTTACTGACATTTTCTTGAACATTTATGATATCATGGATTGTCTTTAGAGTATTGAAAGTTCCATATTCTAAGTAAACATGACATTCACATTTTCCATCTATGTACTTCTGTCCTCTGTTCTCATAAGTAAATATGTCTTTCATTTTTAAATTTTAAAATAATAAAAAAAAGTAATTATGTATATGTCTGTGTGGGTATATGTCTGTGAGTGCAGTGCCCACAGAGGTCAGAAGAGGGCATTCTATCACTTGGAGCTGGACTTATAGGCAGTTGTGAGCCACTGGACCTCAGTGCTAAGAACTGAACTTGGGTCCTCTGCAAGAGCAGTATGAGCTCTTCACCACTGAGGACCAGGTTTGTGTCCCAGCACCCACATGGCAGCTAACAACCTTCTGTAACTCCAGTTTCAGAGGATTCAATGCTCTCTTGTGGTCTTTGTGAGCATTTCACAATACATGCAAGCAATACATTCATACACATAAAAAAATAAAATATTTCTTAAAAAATAGCTTCCTAGGGTTTCTTTACACAAAATAAGAAAAATTTGAATATATATTCACATTCTTCTATAAGTTTTTACACAAAGCTAGCATTCTATACACATTTGGGCTCCTGGGTTGTCTCATGACACATTTTCGTCTGCAGTACTGTCAGTGGCTATGTCAGTATTGTGTTGCTTGATTAAAGACTGAATTATTTAACTCATCCCCTATCTTTGGATATTTTAGCTGTTTCAGAATAGTCTAATAATTCATCCTTGTATGCAACCCATGATTTCTCAGGATATAGTGTTTGAAACTCTGCTAGGCTTTTTTACCTTATTTTCAAATGACTCCTGAAAGATAATACCACCTTATCTGCCCCCTCCCAACTCCTGCAATGGCAGTAGCAGGTTAAAGGGGAACTAGTGCTGGAGAGAAGGCTCAGCAGTTAAGGGTGCTTGCTGCACAGTCATAAGGACTGGAGTTCTGATCCCAGCACCCATGCAACAAACCAAATGTCCTGAAAACAACTATAATCCCAGCCTTGAGGGATCTGATCTGATGCCCTCTTCTGGCCTCCAGGTTCACAGGTGAATGTGTTGATACACACACACACACACACACACACACACACACACACACACACACAAATATGTTTTAATGTAAACCAACTTGAAAAGAGGCTGTTTGCAGCAGTGAACTTTGTCATATACAAGAAAAAAGAGCAGGAAGACATGGTGGATTGATAGTTTAGAAATCATGGAGGGAGTGGGATTCGGTAAGAAGGAGTTGGGTCTTTTTGAAAGAACTTATGGGAAATGGAATGAGATGCAAGTTCTGGTCTTGCTTCTGACAAGACACCTGGGCTAAGTCACCAGATCTTCAAGTCTGTTTTCTCATCACTGGAAAAACCTAGGTGCTTAGGGGTTTTCCTTGGATGTATTTTATTCCAAAAGGACTTACAAATTTGAGGGAGCCTTTACTGGCTCCAACATTCTTTGGTTTTATAATTGAGCTTTGTGCTCAGAGGGCATACAAGTTGAGGGGCTCTTTATGGTGGTTCCGTTTCAAAGGGATAGAAGTCACTCTTCTAATTCTCTGTGTCACTTATCTCTGTTCAGTTTCAGTTTCTCTGTTATGCCAAGCCTAACTTCTCATCACCCACAGACCTTAACTCTCATAGATGGCCTTTCACAGAATTCACTGAGAATTGAAGGAATGTTAGAACTGTGAGATTCCTGTCTGCATAGATACATGCATATTTTAAAATATTTTATTTTTAATTTATGTGTATGAGTATATTGCCTGCATGTGAGTGCACCTGTGTCATGCAATGTCGTGGAGGTCAGAAGAGGGCTTTGGATTTCCCTGGAACTGGAGTTAAGGACAGTTCATAGCCGCCATGTGGGTGCTGGGAATCAAACCCGGGTCCTCTGTAAGAGCAGTCAGTGCTCTTAACTGCTGAGCCCTCTCTCCAGCCCCATTACATGCATATTTTTAAGCACTCCACTACTTATTTTTGGATGAGGTTATATTAATCTTCAATAGCAGCAAGAGGCAAATATATGATTCCCACAAATTGCATATCTGGAATGGTGGAATATGAGATTTGACTCTGTGGTATAATGCATTCACGGATGACAAGAAGGGAGGCAGTTCTAACACCATCCCAAATCAGGCCTGCCTGATGTGGGGGTCAGTGGTCAACCAGCCTCTGTGGGTGAGTGCTAAGTTGTCAGGTCAGTGCCAAAGCTGTCTGTCAGAAGCTTCCCAGGATTCACCAAGTGAGAACTTTGGTCACTGAAGCAAGATTGGTCAAGAATCAATACCCCCTCCAGCCATTTCTGTCCTTTCTTTACAGCAAGCAAGCTACAGAGAATCCCAGTGTGCAGGGTCTGGAGACACTGATAGAAACAATCCAGATGCACTTGAAAGACCATTCATGCAAAGACAACATCCATGAAGCGTTTCAAATTTACGACAAGGAGGCTTCAGGATATGTGGACAGAGAGGTGTTCTTTAAAATCTGTGATTCTCTTAATGTCCCAGTGGATGACTCCTTGATTAAGGAGGTCAGTACAAATTGTGGTTTTGTTTGATTGTAGAGGCTGAGCATTGGCCATTCTTTCTAAAGACCTTTGTGATAACCAGGGAAGGCTTAGGATGTTCAAATCAGATCTCCTATTCTGTCCTGATGATGGCATTTCACCAATTCTCACATTGGCATCCTTTTCTAATTGTTGCCACAGGACATCTTTAGATAGGTCTGGGGTCAGGCAGCACAGGACAGTTGCTAGACCAGCATGTCAGAGCTGAAGGAGGGCACTTATCAAGACATTCTCATTGATTATGAACACTGAGGTTTCACTGACATTCTTGAAGACCTTTAAGCAAGAAGGAATGTTCTGAGATTAAGATTCATTTAGGAAATTATTTTGTTTAGGGCTAAAATGAGTACGTCAGAGATGAGGATTCTTTTTCTTCTTTAGGACATGAATGTCGGTAATGAATGGGGAAGGTCAGATAGGAGGGTATTTGTTCATGTGAGCTAAATACCCATTTAGCTCCAGATACCTTTGATTGACAGTATGACTGACTTTTGATTTTCATGGCATTCATACTGTGTGATACAGGAGACAACAGCAGCCATTGGGAAGAAGGGCAGGTAAGGGGTGGGTGAGGTGGATTTGCATGTCTTATAAAGGAAACCATAGCCAGTCCTTGTTACCAGTCACTGTTAACCTTCTGGGCACAGTTTAAGCAGTGATGTAACTAGATTCCTCTATTAGGCTGGAATAGCAGAAGCCTACTATTTAAGGGTTTTTAGTTCTTGGAAGACAAAAGTATTACATCTGAATATAGCAATGAAAGTGTTCTGAAGCTGGGTGTGCCATGCTAGCACACATTTGTATTCTCAACACTCGAACACTACAAGTTCAAAGCTAGCCTGGGCTACAAAGTAAGACACTGCCAAAAAAAAAAAAAAAGCACTTTGCAAATAACAATGTCCCTATAAAATATGGCTATTACAGCTGTGGTTTCACTAAGTATAAGATGGGGATTAATGCCTGGCCTACCTTCCTGGATCACAGGATCCTTTCAGACTCAACTGGGAATATAAACACTGAATTTTGTTTGGGTTGGCAAAGACTGGGGCTCCTTGTGTGTAAGTGTGCTCTGCAGCTCTGCTGAAGAACGCCCTCCTCACCTGTTCTCTGTTCCCTTCTGCAGTTAATCAGAATGTGCACGCATGGAGAAGGCAAGATCAACTACTATAACTTCGTTCGTGCTTTCTCAAACTGACCTGACCAAGAACAGGATATAAATTTTCAACACTGGACCGACACCTAGAAATCTACTTTGTGCTTTCCATAGAGGCATTTACAGCACTCCGAAGTTGTACATCTCCTTCAGTTCTTATATTTCACTACCACTAAAGTCTAAATTAAATTGGTTCCTAGAGCATGGAAGATTGGTGCCTTATTTTGAGCAGTAGGGACATCATGATGATCAATTTTATGTGCCAACTTGATGAGGCTCTAAGGTATTGAGTTCATCTAACACTATTCTGAGTGTGCCTGAGCGTGGTTGGAATGAGAATAACAACTGAATTGGTAGACAGCAAGGCAAGCCACATTGCTCTCCTTAAAGTAAGTAGGCCCAAACTGTAATTTGAAAGCTGAATAGAAACACAAACAGACCTGAAGTAAGAGAATTCCTCCAGCCTCACTGCTTTTAAGCTGCCTTCAGAATCAAACTTCCTGGGTCCTGAACCTGCAGCCAACAGACTGGAGCTGAACTATTACTTTCCATTTTCCAGCTTGGGACTCAGCCTGCACATGCATGCAGGCACACATACCACAACATACCATACACAATTAGTTTTCTGATTCTCTGGAAAACCATAATGCAGATATAGAATGATTAAAAGCAGAGGGAATGATAGAATTTTTCTAGACACATTTGGGATGTTGAAAATAAAGTCCACAGCAGCACTATGGCTGCTAGCCACGGGCCCCACCACTGCCTGCTCTGCTGCCCCAATTTTGTAGAGAAATACACATGCTTTTCCAAAGTGTGGTTCTAGGCTCATTAGCAGAACTACACTTGAAAAACTGAGGATCTGAGGTCTGGCTCAGTGGTAGAGTTCTTGCCTAGTATATGCAAGACCCAAGGTTCAATCCCAAATATCACCACAAATATAATTTCTTAAAAATGGAATAGAAAATAGTGTCATATCCATGGTATCATACATATTTTCATAAAACCTCTGAGTATTTACTGGGTTGTGATATACACATTTTTTAGAAAAGAACTTCTTTTGGAAAGCCTGGTCTAGTTTCTGGTTCCACAACTCTGGCTGACAGCCAGGGCTTCTCTTTGACTGAAGTCAGCCATGTTAGATTCTTCCCTGCCACCCAGAATGTGGAGTGCTGAAAATGGAGTTTTATAGGACCCAGTGTGCCCAGGTCCTCTCAGAACTGCCAGGGAACCTTCTTGCCTTTGCTTCCTCAGGAGCAAAGCCACCTCTAACCAGCTTGCTTAAAGGCTGCAAATGTATTCAGAGCTCCTTTCCCGCTCCAGATTATCTCAGGAAGAAACCGCGCTTTCTCTGCATGTCACTCATATTTAAAGTTTCTTTGTAACTACTTACGAAGTCCATTTTGATCTAAACTACTCTAAGCTCTATCCTGCCTGCCCCATCCAGTCTTGCCCAGGCCTGCAGTGTTCAGGAAGCTATGTGGGTGGACAGGTGGTCCTGCCTCTGGCTTTTGTATCCTCTGTTGTTTCTATCTTTTGTAAGGTATAGGATGAGTTAAAGGATAGAACCAGAAAAAAAAAAGGGAGCAACTTACTATTTCTAGGGCTGGAATGTCATAATGTGGAGCCACAGCTGAAATGGCAGGTGCCAAGGACCAGCTTGTTCTCACTCACAGGGCACCTTCTTGAGGAAGCTGTTAGATCACTTTCCCACAGAAATCTAGTGCACTGTTCTCAAATGCACAGTCCAGTGTCCCCAACTGCTTGGCTCTAACAGCACGCTCCCCAGCCTCCTTCACTTCCTCAGAAGGGTCTCTTGGGAGGAGGCCTCTCAGACTGACATCTACTCTTGCTCAGTGCTCTTTCCCAGAAAGCATTCAGCTCTGCAGTTAGGCAGCTCAACCCCATTCCTTTGGGCTTATTTTAAGTAAGCATCCGCCACCCAAATATGCTCTCTAAACTCCAAGGAACTGGGCCAGGGAGATGACTCAATGGGTAAAAGTGCTAGCTGTGCAAGCCTGACAACTAAGTTTGGATCCAGGAACCCAGTAACATGCATTATTTATAATCCCAGCACTTCTACAGTGAGATGAGAGGCAGAGGCAGGAGACCTCGCTCACCTGGAATATGCAGCTCAGTGTCAGAAACAGCAAGAGAAACCCTACCTCAACAGAGAGCTGACTCCCATAAGTTGTCCTCTGAAGTGTGTGGATCCGGCACCCGATAAGTCTTATTTATTATCACGCCCCCCCCTTCTCAGGGGAAGGGGGGGGGAGGGGGGAGACCCCCCCCCCCCCCCCCGCCACTCCCGCCCTGGGAAACTCACAGGGCAGCTATCCTGGAGTACCCCGTTCAGTGGCGAACAGGACGGAAGACAAGGATTGACCCCTAAGGCTGTCCTCTGTTGTCATCATGAATACATACTGTGGCACACTCACCTTCACACACAATGCATATTTAAAACTTGGGCTAGTTAAGTGAAGTGCCCCTTAACAGTCTCCAATCTTTCTCAGCTGTCCCTCACTCCTGTAGAAGAGGAAAGTTATCAAAAGCCATGGCTGCCTCCTCAGAATCTTTCACAGATATATATGGAAATGCCTCTCAATTTTTGTCACTGGCTTTGGGCTTTTGTTGAAATGGAGGTGTTCACATTTAATATCCTATTCCCTACCCTTTTAAGTCCCAGTGCTCACGGCCCCTCAAGTCTCAGTTCTGACCACTTATCTCTTCATCTTGTCCACTAGATACAATACTGATAGCTATCTTTCTGCTACTCACTGTAATTGTTAGAAGCTTCAAGGAGAACTGGGCCTTATATCAGATTGCCACACTCTTATTCCAAAGCTTGCTCCCTATGCCTCACCTTGCATCTTCCAAATTTGTCCAAGATTGAGAAGAGCTGATAATATGATTGAAAGGTATGATTGTTACTTTATAAAAGACCACAGCCAGTGAGGCATTGCTGTGGTATCTTCAATCACTGCGATCTACAAAGTCAGAGCACATCACTTCCCTCTGAGATCCAGAGTGGCAGGGCAGCCAAAAGATGCCACTAATTCCCGTAGGTCACTGTTACAGCATGCATCTTGAGGCCTGGGCTCGAAGAAGAGAGCTGAGTGTGAATCTGCAGTGAGCAACACTGAGATATGACCAGTGCTTCATGTAAGCTGCTAGGGAGTGGAATCAGAATTAGCACTACCAACTAGCTTACAGCAGCAGTACCAGGTAGCTGCAGTTACCAGATTTAATGGATGGATGCATCCAAGACTGATAAAGATGGCTTATGATTTCAAGACTAAGAAAAGCTGCCTTATGGGTAAAGACTGGTTGGTGGTGAACCAATACTCAGTGTTGGGCGTGTGCCCAATGCAACACTAGGGAACCTCGAGCACACTGTCAGTAATGAAGACATACCACTATCTACAAGCTTTTGGGGTATTTCGGACAAACAAGTAGAGAAGACATGTCTAGATACCGTTTCTGGATAACCAGCAGTCCCTGGGCAAGTAATTTCTGAATATCCTACTGGCATACAAGCACATGTTTATTAAAAAGATCAACTTAGCTAGGCATGGTGGTACTCACCTGTAATCCCCCCACATGGGAAGCAGAGGCAGGAAGATGGCTATAAATCCAAGGCCATGCTAGTCTACAATGCAGGCTAAACCAGCCAGGACTACACTGCAAGATTCTGATTCAAAAACAAAACAAAACAATCAATTTAAAGTTGGGCATGGTGGCGCATGCCTTCAATTGCAGCACTTGGGAGAGAACGGTAGAGGCAGAGGCAGGCAGATCTGTGATTTCAAGGTTAACCTGGTCTACATACGGAGTTCTTGGCTAGTTAATGCTATTGTTGTGAGACTCTGTCTCAAGAAAATCCTAAATAAGGGACTGGAGAGAGGCCTCAGCAGTTAAGAGCACTGGGTACTCTTGCAGAGGACCCAGGTTCAGTCTCCAGCACTCACATGGTGGCTAACAACCATCTATAACTCATGCCAAGGGAATCCAGCACCCTCTTCTGACTTCCCTGCAGATTACATGACACGGGTACACTTATACACATACAGGCAATACACTCATACACATAAAATAAAAATAAAGTATTTTAAAATAATTATTTTTCACACATGCGGGCATGTGTGTAAGTGTACCCATGTCATGCAGTGCTTGCAGAGGTCAGATCAGAGGGTGTTGGATTTCCCTGGAACTGGAGTTACAGACCATTGTTAGCTACTATGTAGGTGCTGGGAATCAAACCCAGATCCTCTATAAGAACTGCCAGTGTTCTTAAATGCTGAGCTCTCTCTCCAGCCCCAAATATTTTTAAAAAAGAAAATCCTAAATAAATTAATTAATTAAAAGTTGTGCACGGTGGTACATACCTGTAATCCCAGCTCTTGGGAGGTCTGAGGAGGATTGTTACAATTTTGAGGCCAGCCAGGGCTACATAACAAGACCTTGTCTTTTGCACCATGAATTTAATTAACACCAACTGTCACTGCTCACCATTTCCTAGGGGAAAAACAAAACTTGTAGGACACAGATGAGTAAACAGGCTGAGCTAACTCAGGAACCTGCTGGAGGTCCTATCTCATGCAGAGCAGGACTCAAACCCATCTGCACCAAAGTTTGCTGCCATTAGTACCACTCACTTTCACTTCCAGTAAATGTTTCTGTGTGATTCTCACCCCCTGTGGGTGTCCTCTGGATAACTGCCACCTATAATTACACTCATCCTGAGCACTCCCCAAGGATGGTTCTGGAAAACAGCAGACAGCTGCATGCAATAGCAGGCCATTTATATGACATCAGCAATCCTCACTGCCAATGTCCTTACCAAACTAAGCCGTCTTCTGGTCAGCACCAATACCCTTGGCTGCATTTACAGAAGCCATGACCTACATTCCCTCCAAGCTGCATGACCTCACAGGAGTAGGCAAAGCTCAGAGGGCTTCCTCCAGGAGTCTACCTTACTGTTGTAGATGAACTAAAAACAATGCATATGGTTACCCAGGACTGGGTAGCACCACGGTGGACACACAGTACAAGAAATTACTATGTAGTGAAAAAATTTAAACACAAAAGGTAAAACTGACAGACTCACTGCCTTTTCAAGTGAAGATAAAAGGGAGAATTCAAATGAAAATCATTACCACATGAAAACACATCAATGAATTCTACCAGAGACCATTATGGCGAATAATTCTATGCCTTTTATTCAGGTATTTCAGAAAATATTTGATCATTTGTTTCAAAATGTACATTTAAAAAAATCCATACAAAACTGTAGCTTGTTTCTAAAACCAGACAGAAACAGTGAAAAGGATTTTGAAAAAAAATGTCACCAAAAGTAAAAAGACACCCTCCCCCAACTCTTTTACACGGAAGCATAAATACGGCAGGTACATTTTCCTTGAGTTCCTTGTTGAATTTGGTCCATAACACGAACAGGCTAATGTAGAAAAACAACTTGTCCACATTTGCATTATGAGTTGCTTAGGGCACCAGCAGCCTCAGCTCGTCCTTCAGCTGACTGTTAAACAGAGGAACTGAAAAGCGAGGTTTAATCACACATGAATCTGTACCCAAAAGAACTGTGGTACTAATCACCATAGCCAGGTTCTGTCAGGGAACAGGGCTCACTGTGGCTGATTCTAGGGAAAATGTCCATCCTCCACAGGAACAAGAAACTCTGGAATGCCTTGAGGCTATGATGGGATGCCAGGGTCACCACAGCCGATCTTATTCCCAGATGCTGACAATGTCCCAGCTTGAGGATGACTTTTTCCCCCCAACACATTAAAAGAAAATAAGGACTTCTAAGATGATACTACGCATTCTACAAGATGGCCACAGAAACCTACCTGGGATCAAGAGAAAGACAGCAACAAAGGGAAGGGCTGACACTTCTAGAAGGGATGATGGCTACGTCTCCCATGGGTCCCATCTCTCCCACTAATGTAGGAAGAGATAAGGGACAGAGGCCTGTGGAAAAGACCACTGGCTGGGAGGGTTATTGCACAACCCGGAAGAGCAAAACAGGCAGGCAGCAAGGGACAGGGAGGGGGGGTTGGTGCTACCAATACAAAGTAACCCTGAATCAGAAGCTCCAACTGCTCTGCGGCCTCCAGACCAGACCCACTGCCAGACAGGTTATCAAAGACTTAGCACTTGAATCCAGGGAGTACAAGTAAACACCTTCCTCACAGAAACTTTGGGCTAAATGGAAGTGAAACAGATGGGAAGAGGCTAGAGCAAGGATGCTTGCTGGTTTCTAATCTGGGGTGGTGATGCAGAGACTGTAGGAGCGGGCCTTGTTGTGTGGGGCCAGTCACTGCTTCAAGGGGTTTCCCTCTTCCTAGCCCCCAAGCTTTCCTTCTAGATAGGAGGCATGGGTGCCTGCAGCTGGACCACCTCACAGGCCTCTATAGCCACCCAGCCAAGCTGTAAGTGAACTGACATGGGGAGTGGGGAGGCAAAGCAGAAAACAAATCACACCTCATTGCTATGTGTGTGTGGTGGTGGGGGGATCAGAACAAAGGAGGCGAAACTCAACCCATGTCCCTTTTACCTGTAGCTATGCTGAGGTATGGCATTACCAGCTGTATATGCTAGTCAGCCAGAAGGCCCTTGCAGATCGGGGCTGGCCATACAGTACCAGTGAAGGCCACAGGGCAACATAAGGCACTTATTACAGAAAAGAACAAGGATCTGCTTAGGACAAGGCCAGAAAGTCTGCTGAGGCTGCTGAGCTTAGAAGTCTGGCCCTTCATAGCTGTGCTGACCAAGAACCAGCAGAAGATATAGTTGATACTTGGGCAGGAAGCAGGCTAAAGGGTGAGAACCTGGTCAGTTTCCTTCCAGGGCCAGCCATAGGCTGGAGAAGGATCAAGTTTTCAAAAGATCTGACACTGATCAAATTCTCCAGTCACCTCCCCCATGACCCTGCACCTCCTCCTGAGGAAGGAGGCTATGGAGGGAAGACCAGGTCACTGTCCTGACTCACATGTTTCCATTATGCTCCCCTCCAGTGAACAGGGGCCAAAGGAGATCAAGAATGGAAATTTATCTTACTTGGGACATGGGAGTCCTTAAGAAGGAAAAGTTAGTTATGTCTGGACTCCTCTACCTTTTCCCACTCCAGGCCTCAGAAAACCCAGCTGCGAAGGCTAAAGACTAAAAACAACTGCAAAACAAAGGGTATCCCTAGTTGGAAGGAGTCAACAAGCCTCTAAGAATGCATAGCATCTGACTGAAAATTGTAGACTTCTTGGAGGCAACACACTGCTCCTACCCTTTTTTTTTTTTTTTTTTTTTTTTTTATCTTTACTTTTTTGATAAAGGGCCTATCTGTCACAAGAAGAACCCTCCCCGCAACAGAGCCTCTTCACTTTTTTAAATTGCTATTTATGAGAAAAGGCCAACATGTACTAAGAAGCAACTCCCCACCTACAGGGGCTCTTAGGGTCCCAGGAAGTTTAGAAAAACACTGCAACAGTGGCCAGAACACAGACATCTCATTGTAAGCACTGGTAAGCTCTCCCTTGGGACACATCAGCAGGTGCTCTCAGCAGTCATTTAGGCACATACAGGGTTTTGGACTGGCTATTGGGTGGCAGAGAGCAGCTCCCCTCCTGGCTTAGCTTGCTCTTTTTAATCCAGGACCATGTACACAAGGAACACACGGAACTAATTCATAGTGCAGCTATCATAGATAGCATGGATGGCAAAAATAACTGTCCCAACACCAGACCTCCAAGAAGGGCAACTGCAGCAGGGAATCCTGCATCCATCACTCCTGCCACTGCCACCTCCTGGCATCCCCATGAGGGAGTGCCACTCAGGGATGCCAAGAGACAGGCAGCCGCTGCTGAGGTAGAGATTAGCATCTTCTGCTCTCGGGGGATGCTGCTGACCCGGCCTCTTAAACTTGGAGGAGTATGGCAGGACCTTCACTAGGAGCATAGTACTTAGAAGAGACAGCATAGAAATGAAGAAAGTAGCCACTGTGCCCCAAGTAGACCTAGTGCTAGCCCAGCATATTCACAGGATGATGTGAAACTGTGTTATTACAATTCAGGCAACATGGTTTCTATCTACTTATATAACCAAGACTTGACTTTGTAACAGCATAAATGTGTCAGAGGGGTTTGGGGTGTATGTGAGAACATGGCCTACAGTTCCTCTAAGCCCCCAAACATCCCTGAAGCCCAGGCTAGCGAGGAGTTGCCTAACTTAATCTCGGGCTTTTCTTTTAAAACTGAGTAACACTGCACTACCTCCCACCACTGACCAAGTCCTTGTGTTCTAGAGAACAGAACCTGTATCAATCCTAGCCACAGGACACTTAAGGAACATGAAGCCAGATCATCTCGACCAACTAGGTGTCCTAAGAAAGAACAGCAAAAATCTGTATACACAGGGACAGGGCTGTTGGATCTAAGACCTCAACTGCTCTGGCTGCCTCGACCTCTTCAAGACCTCCACACATCACATGCTTGTCACAAGTTTTCATCGAAGGTGCAGCTCAACAGCTCAACCTGGGCTCACCTGAAGAGGTAAAGCTCTTGCTGAGAGCTGGCAAGGGCTTGCCACTGACACAGCTTGGCGAAGGCCCAGGAAAGCACTTAGATTTATGGGATGGGGTGGGCTTGGGAACCTCCACACTGTTCTAAGAGGCAGCATTGGAAACATGAGCTTAATTAAAGCCACCACAAGGACAGGTGGGCTGCAAAGGCTAAAAGGTTCCAGATGAGCTCTGCTGAGCTGCCCAGAGAAGGATCAGGAAAGGAGAGGAAGAAAGGGGGGAGATACTTTCAAAACTGCTGTCTTGCTTCCTAAGGGCACCCAAAAGAAGCCAAGGGGAGGGAGTATGCTTATCTTGGACAGAGAAAAAATGCTACAATGGTGTTTGGAACCAAATTCCTCAGTTACTGGTAAGCTAGACTTTAACCTGCATTGCAATTGTCTTGGAGAAGGGAATCTGCCTAGACAGAAAGAACCCAGCTCCCCATTTATCAGTAAAAATTCAAGATCTGGTCTCTACTATGACGTCAGAGGACCAGTATATTAACGTTCCTGTGTCACCAAGCTCCCCTATACCCCAGCACAGAATTCAGGGGTCCTTAAAAATCTATCTCTGGAAGTCCTTACAACACACTGTAAGGACCTAGTGACCTCATCTTCAGGTAGAAGAGAGAGGAAAGAATACTGAAGGGAAGAGGGCCACAAGACTCCTGTGGACATGGCTGTGTCTGCTCACGCAACTAGAAGAGTGATCCTGAGTCACTGTGATTTCAGGATGGTTGTGTTCAACAATTATCAGCAAACAATTGCAACAATTTCAAAGAACACTCAAGTGAGGCCACAGGAAAGGTGGGCCAATTGGGGCTGGAGCCCGTGAGGCTTCGTATTTCTGCAGCTAGAGATGAAGTCAAGGTAGCCAGTCTGGCCCCTGGCAGGGTGGGCTACTTCTGGACTTGGGAACAGTGTATCTCGGGCAGGTTTGCAACTGCTGTTTGGTTTGGTTTTGAATGCTGGTGGATGAATAGCGAAGCTACAGCAATTGGCACTGCTGGAGAAAAGCTCAGACTCACTCTTCTGTCGTTCTTGTCAAGCCTCCTTTCCAGAAGAGCCTGCTGTTTAACGTGCTCTGCTCTTGCCCTAGGAGTTGGAGACTTGTCCTTAGCACGTCCCTCTGGAGCAAAGGCAGGTCAGTTGGTTTCCAATCCAAATGCAGCACTAGAGGCTCGTTGGAGTCCTGAGACTCAAGAGTTAATTAACACTGTCCTTCTGGATTAAGTCCCCATGTCCCAAAGTCAAACACCTCAGCATCCCACAGCAGTGGCTGCTGAGCCTCAGGAATGGGCAGGCAGAACCAGAATCCTACATCTTGTCAGTCAGTCAGCACCAAGAAGACTGTGATTCAAGAGGGCTGGCCTCTCCTCCACCTGCTGGTCCATACAAGGACCACTGGGGGCCTGTCTTCAGACCCAGCTGAAGCTCCTGAGCAAGAGGCTTCCAGATTGACAGGTCCTGGGACTGACGAACAGGACTGCAATCTTAGCTCCCTCCCATTGTAAAAATCAGACAAGAGAAAATTGCACATTAAAGAAGTAAAGAGAAAAAAGAAGCAGCCATGAAGGAAGAGCACAGATGAGCACTGAGATAACGACGAGAATCTAGGTTTCTAAGAAAACCCAATACAGGACAGAGGCGAGGCCAGGAGGTGGCTTGAAGGAGGAAGAGAGGAAGATTTTTGGCTTTATTGAGAACTGTTTATGGAAGAAGAGAAAGCCAAGAAGCAGAGAGGAACTCCCCTCTAAAGCCAGGTTTCTGCTGTTGGAGCATGGCTAGGAGGATGGAGAGGCCGAGCTGGGGCCAGGGTTCCTCGCCTCCCTGTCAGGGCCTTACCCAGAGGATTCTTGTTCTCAGCCCTTTGGCCTTAGGGAGACTTGAGTTTCTTAGTCCGTGGGGAAGTTCCATTCTCTGCTTTCACCACTCCATTTTCATGGTAACCTGGGGAGCAGAGAGAGATGGACACACATGGGGTCGCTGCTGGAATTGAGGCAGGACAATGGAGGGCAGGAAGGAGTGCACGGTCCTGCTGCATGCAGACCAGCCAGTGGGGAACCAGGTTACAGCAAAAGGAAGCCAGAGAACAGCTCAGGGCAGGTTGATGCCTCTTCCAAAGTCTTAAACAAGTGGCTTCACTTCAAGTGCTTGGTATCTGACTGTCTTTGAATGGAGGATATCTAGGGTGACAGAAACCTTGGAAGAGGCAGCAGCCCCCACACTGGGGCCTGGGCAGTATTGCTTCAATCAGTTACCTCCACTAGTATCCTCATTCCCTCAGCCCTGCAGAGGACAAACTGCTCTAAGGCACAGGAAGGGTGACAAAAGAAGAGGGGGGACAAGAAGCTGTGGGGACAAGGCCTGACACTCTTCCAGTAGAACTGTGTGAAAAACACCTCCTCATGTTCAATCTGCTGCAGCCTCACAGCAACCGCAACCCCACGCCCAGCCCCTCAGATCTCCTAACACCCAGTTGTACATGTACCTGGTTCAAACACACTCAAGCCCTTGCCAGGCAGGTGACTGCCTGGAGAAAACCAGTTGAGTCAGGAAACAGATCCTGGTGTATTAAGACAGACAGCACCCCCCATCCCCCCGCAGGCTGGGCAGAAGTACAGGAGTACGGAATTGGGATGTCTAGGGACCTGTGGGTGGAGGTGGTCACTGGAAGATGAGTAGGGGCCAAAGGAGATGTGGTTGTCCCATCCCTGTTGCTCCTCCCTAGACTGTGTCACTGTTGAGTCATTCCTGAAGAGAGATGGGAAGCTAAAAAGCTGAGAGGCAGGGGTGGGCCAAGATGAAGAGCATAGGGGCAGGTGAGGACATGACCACTGTGCAGCACAGGGCATGGGTGACAGCAGCAGCAGTAGCAGCAGCAGCAGCAGCAGCAGCATGTGGCTGGATGCCAAAGCCACCAGAAGGACATGCTTCCTGCCAGAGGTTCCCACCCAGTACTGCCTTGTCCCACAGTGGCCAGGGCTCTAGGCCCTATTGTGGCTAGACTGCCCGCACTGGGTTCCTGGCCCAGGCCCAGCCACAAGCAGGTCAAAGAGCCCCAGGCCCAGAGAGAAGTGTCTAGAGGGATGAGCCAGCAGGAGTGGTCAGTGGAGAACTCTAGAGCCAGGTCCCACCTCCTCCCTACCTCTGCAGACAGACTTCACCCACTTGCTTTCTGCCACAGTTCTGGCACTCACCAGATTCCCTCTTGATGAGCCTGGCTGGAAGCCTGGGGGCAGCTGGGAGTCTCCTCTTGGCACCCTGCTCATTCCAGTATTCCCGCCAGTGCCTCAGCTGGGAGTGGATAAAGCGCCACATGAGCCAGGCCTGGGCGGCACACACCAGGAGCAGCATTCCGAGCCTGTGGAGGGGTGGAAAGGGCCCTGAGGGCGGGGCACATGTCTGCAGCCTGCAGAAGGTGTAGGGGAGACCAGGCCAGATTCCTGGAGCTCCCGTGGCCTGCCCCACTGGCACCAGAAGGGTGTATACTTCGGTCAGTCTCTGCTCTAGCACACTTCAGCAGTGTGAGGTGACAGCTCCAGGGTGACAGGAAAGGAGGTGGTGCAATGTGCATGCCCACCTCCACAATCGCACTAACCCCCCGACCTACAAATCCATAGCTGTGTCTCTCTCTTATCCACAGCACATAGTAAGGCTCACATGAAGCTCCACAAATACTGTGAACATTCAAATGAATTGACTTAGGAGACTAGTGAAGAAATTCTCTTCTAGCATGTCAACATCAGTGAAGAAACCCTGGACAAACTGCACGCCCTCTGCTGCCTGTAGCCTCAAGGAGTGCAGACCTTCCTGGCTGCTTCCTTGGTGGTAGGGAAGGTCACAGGGCAAAGCACGGAGAACACAGCTTCAAATTCTCATGAGGTTATCACGATCAACCTAGCCTGGTTGAGAAATGTTCTATGTACCATGATGTGCTACATGAGTGTGGGTGTACTGCATTCGGATCCTCACTGCAGCCAGAGCACACCAAGGCTGAGAACTGAAGAATGTTTGCAGGAAGCAGAAGACCAATGTCAGGAGACTTGCGGCTAAGCCCCAGTGTATGGAAAACTGAAGGGCTTCCTGCTTCCCAACCTTCTGTGGAAGTGGTGCCAAGTTCAAGCGGTTGCTGGTAGTGCTCAGAGGGCCCCAATTTATCACCTCAGGTTTCTGCCAACTCACCTGCAGGGCAAGGTGTTGAAGTTCCCTTTCTCAGGGTCAAACACCTGGTTTTCCACACGAGCCAATCCAAAGCCAATGGCCAGCACAGCAAGAGTGAGGATGAAGAGGCGCGTGACCCCAAACACGGCAGCCCAGGCATTAAACCTGCTCATAGGGGCAGAAAAGGATGTCAGCCTTTAGAGCCCTTGAGGGAACCTTCTCCTACCTCTCCAGAAGCAACCCTGAGTGGGACAAGGACTCAAGTAAGGCCTAGGAAAGTGTGTAAGATAGCTAGAAGATGCTCCAGAAAAGGAATAGGCACAGTGTGCTGCCTGCAGACACCCTGAGGAGCCTCCAAGAGAGGCCCAGGTCCCACCCTAGATGTCTGTGGACAGGCCAGCCCCCAGCAGCCCCACTTACAGCTTCTCGTTGTTCTCATCTGCAAAGTAGAAGAGTCGAGCCATGTGGAAGAGGAACTCAGTTGAGTACTGCAGCAGCAGCAAGATCAGACCCAGGCGGCTCAGGCTGGGGGGGGAAGACGAGCCTTATTCTCCCTGCTATACACCTCAGAGCAGAAGCCACTGGCCCCTGGTGGCTCAGGCTGGCCCCTGTACCTGGGCTCGGCTTTCCACTTCTGGGGTAATCCTGCCTTATCCTCTACAGTTTAATTTAGCTACTATTCATTCAGGAGGTTTTTCTGGACTGACTCCCCGCATTTTCATTCTCTAAAGATTACATTCTGTAGACTTGCCTTAATACAATAATCTGAAAATATCTACAGCAGTAATAGCTCTGGACATAAGAAAGCAAGGTAAAAGGTCCTTGTTATGATGAACTTGTTCAGTATTTTCATTTTATTAAAATCAACATCTTTTGTGTGTGTGTGTGTGTGTGTGTGTGTGTGTGTGAAAAACAATGTATTTTTTTTTTTTTTAACTTTTAAAGAAACTTTATTGAGAATTTCATACATGCATATCCATGCCCACTCCCTCCTCTCCAACACAGTTTCCTGGCCAAAAGTCAAAATGTCCTTGGGCCTCTTAGCAACAGACTCCCCATCTTTTAATCTGTTTCGTCTGGGTCAACAGCCTTTGCTTATCCCCACAATGAACCTGACTCAGGGTCTTCACAGCATCTAGCACCTTCCATTCTCACTCTGTGGGAACCAAGCATACATTAGTATATGAAGAGTTCCTGCTGCCTGATGTCCCACCAAGTCCTCCTAGAGGAGGCCCCTGGGGGAGTGGAAAACTCTTCTCTTACGGGGTCCTCAGCACACTTTGAGGGGAGATGGCGCAAACCGGTCCCCATAATCTACTCCATGTGTGAGCTGTGGGCATCCAACACGAGCACCACCGCAGAGCCAGCAGGGATTGCCATGGCCCTTGGCCTCCAGAGACAGAAAAGCAGAGCTCGGGAGCTGCTGGCCTCCTGCATGCTACCCAAATCAGCCATTCTCACAGGAAGCCCACTGTAAGCAGCTCAGAAACAGGGCCCCAGATTCTGGGCACCACAGCAAAGCCCTCAAAGGCCAGCCAATCAAAGTACTGGTTCTACTCTGCAGAGGAAAATCTCATGGAAAGCCCACATTAGCAATGGCACAGGCCAGTCATTCATCGATATGCTAATTTCCATAAAAGAGGCACTCAAGGTCAAACAGCAACTGCTTCCACTTCTACAGCAACCACCCAGCAAACTGTTCTTGATTTCATTACAAGGAGAAAGGAACTCCAGGGCTATGAGCTCCAGAAGCATTTGGATACCATGAAGCAGCTGCCCGGTTTCTGGCTGTGTTCAGCCTGCAAAGCCATGATTCAAAGGACAACATTCATTGGAAATCTTCCCTGGCTGTGGCTAGAGCTTCCCATGGCTAACGGTACTTACCTTAGCAGAGTTTATCACACCTGTCTTACATGTACCTGTCTTTCCTTCCAGGTAGAGAATGAACCACTGAAGGTAAAAGAGTCTTCCACTACCTTCTGTATTCCCAAGTCTTAGCATGGTACTCAGCAAATGGATGCTAATGAGAGATCATATGGATAGACCCGGGGCAAAAGGGCAAGGAAAGGTGGCTAGGTCAGGGTCTCACTCACTTTAAGAGGTATGCTCCAGCTATATGGACCAGGTACAGGCAAATATACTGCAGCTGGCGGGGAATTTCCTCCTGGAAACAACAGGGGCAGAAAGTGAGTGCACGTGCTCATTCCCTAACTGACGATGCAGGGGGATAGAGGAGAGGGGTAAAGGGACAAGGAACGGCCAGGTCCCCCTACCCCCAAAGTCCCTTATCACACCAGAGTCCCATACACTGGGCTGCTGACAAGTCCAAGGGCGAGGCAGCAGCCAGGCCTGGCATCAGCAGGCAGATCTGGGTTGGGAAAGAAGATACGGGAATTGGGAAAGAGGGCTTTGACCATAGCTCAGAGGAGAACTATGAAAACGATGGGGTGGTAACTCTTCTCGATCCAGTATCTAGCAGTTAGATTTTGCCACTAGCCCCACAGCTGGTGGGGAAGAGAAGAACCCAGCACTGCTCTCATGGGGGTCTGCGTAGTGCTTCCAGGGGCTAACTCGGGATTCTGCTTGAGCCCCAACACACTCTCATCATCAGCCAACATGTCACACTTCCAGAAGAAGGGAAGAGAAGTAGGCATCACAGGGAACAGCAGGAGGGAGCAGAGAATGAGAGGCCTCTGAAGGAGGCAGGAAAAGTGAGAACTCACCTTTCGTACCTTCTGGAAGTAAAGCTCAGGCAGTGCGTGCAGCCAGTAGGCTAACTGACACAAGTAGAAAAACTTTACCTGGAAGCTGGAGACAAGGGAACAAGTCACACAAGTGAGATCGAGCAAGATGGCCCCCAGGGTACCTGCCAGACAGAGAAAGGCCTGGGCCAGGACTGTGCGTGATGAGCAGGTCTAGGACAGAGGGAGAGAGGCAGAGACCATCTCATCCACAGTGCCTTATATAAAACCACTGAAAGGGCCTCAGCATGCCCACAGAAGCAGCAATAGTGATTGAGCGTGCAGAGGAGGGGTGTTCTTCAGCCCAGAGACGGGAAAGCTGAGGAGGGAGCCTATTACAGTGCACTGTGGAGGACACGGAGATAACTAAGTGTACTGAACAATGACTCTAAGATGTTCAATTCTATGGGGCTGGAGAGATGGCTCAACGGTTAAGGACACTGGTTGTTCTTGCAGAGGACCCGGGTTCGAATCCCAACACCCACATGGCAGCTAACTGTCTGTAACTCCAGTCCTGGGGAATCTGACAGCCTCTTCTGACCTCTGTGGGCATTTGCACGACACAGGTGCACTTACCTCCATGCAGACAATACATGCATACACATTAAAAAAAAAAAAAAAAGATGTTCAACTCTACACCCTTTGCTATTGCTGCTCTGAAAGGCCTTAGGGACACAGGGTGGCTGTGCAAGGGATAGACCCAGGCCTCATCAGCACCAGGAACAGGAGCCTCAGCCATGGAAGGATAGGAGGGAAGATGTGCTATGAACTTAAGAGAGTCCCCAATAAGGTACAAAGCACAAATGTTGATGGAGAGTTCTGTTTGCATCTGTCACATGCAGACTGGGTGCCTCTGTGGGTAGAGCTACTGCAGAAAAGCCCTGGGGGAGGGATTCCCACAGCTGCCTACAACCCCATGCTCTACAGGTTCAAGGCCTGACCTGCTCCTCATCCCAGTTAGCCTTACAGAGTCCCATAAATACTCACGAGAGGTACACGTGTGGGTAGTCTTCCCAGAGGCTTCTTGGGTTCGTTAAGTATCCTTCCTATGGTAGGTGAGAAGAGAAAGCATTTAGGGATCTGGACATGTTACCTGCTGGGGCCTGGGACTGGTGTTGGGGATACACCCAATCTCTAGCAACTACCAAGAGGAATTAACAGCAAAGGGAAATCAAAGGACTCTGTGTGTAGGACCTGCAGGCACTTGCCCAACTGTGACAGTGTCATGATATATACATGGCATGCTCTGGGGTCTGACAACCTGTGTCTGAATGTGGGTCTGACATTCAGTGTATGCATCTATAGAAAAGGTTTATTAGCCTTCCTGGCTCATCTGTAAGTAAGGATAAAAATACCAACTTTGTAGAGTTATTGTTGGAAATAAACATGATATTTATGTGACAGCGTCTAGTGCAGTGTTGGCATATATACACTCAGCAAATGCTTCCATGATGAACGTGCAAATGCACTAGAATCATGCCACCCACTGGAGAACTGAAGCCTACTTTTGCTTTCATACCACCACTGTGATGGTTAATACTGTCAACTTGACAGACTCTAGAACCATCTAGGAGACAAACTGCTGGTCATGTCTATGAGGAAGTTTCTAGATTGAGGAAGAAGGACACCCTCCCCCGGCCCCAGCTGTGAGTGGCACCACTGTAACAGAGTCACAGACTGAACAGGAAGGAGGAAGCCATGCACCAGCCTTCACCTTTCTCTACTTCTTAATTGTGGATGCAGAGTGACCAGCTGCTCAAGCTCCTGCCATCACATCTCTCCCACCATGACGGACTGACCCTTCAACTGTGAACCCAAATAAACCCTTTGCTTACTTAAGTTGTTTCTTGCCATGTATTTTGGCACAACAACAAAGAAAGTAATTAATATAAGCACAGATAAAGCAGTGGAAGGACCCTGAAGGCCTCTCTATGCATCTTAACACCGACCGGTCACATGGCACTGTGACTGCCCAGAGCCTCCATCATTCTGGAAGGCCTTCACCCTGGTGTATTCTCTTGCCTTCCTTTACATCTCTGGCATCTGGCCAGCACCTTGTAGCCCATGGGAGAGATAAACTAAAAAGCAGCCATCACAATGTTGAATGACATCTTACAAATATAATTTTAAATGTAAAACTGAGCTCACAATAAGAAATGGCAATGCCCTGGGGCTCGTCAGGAGAGGCGCTTAAAAGCCAGAATACTGGTGAAGCGACAGCCCAGAAGGTCCTAGACTCGGGGCCAGAATTTTTGTGCTCAAGTGTGAACAGAAGACAGTCCCTTGGGAAGATGAATTGAAGTCACAGTATAAAACCAAGACCTTGGAAGGCCAAGAGAAAGGATATTCTAGATTAGGAAGTGTCTGCTGACCACCACAAGAAAACGAAGATACATGCTCAGTTGTGTTCAGAATAAAAAAAGCCATTTTACCCTAAATGTCTGCAACACCAGGGTTGCCCTCACAAGGGTCTAGGGAACATCAGCTGGTTGAATGAATGAGTGAATAAATGACAAATGTGCTCTATCATTTCTCACTTCGAAAGAAATAAGAGAGGGTTCTTATCACTCAGGAAAGGTTAGATGAGTGTCACCTTTTGTAGGAAAAGGGAAATGAAGGAAGAGCTAGGAGAGTGCTCCTGAAATAGGAAGGTTTTCCAGTGGCCCAGTGAAATCTGAGCAGGGCCAGCAACCTCCTGACCCCAGAACTTCAGGCAGGGCGCCTCAGGAAATCAGAAAATAAGCTGACCCAGAAGCTTTGATGAGAAGTCTGAGAACCTCAACTGTTCAATCTGGGATACAGGTTGGGTTTTTCCAAGGCTCAGAAGGAAAAAGTTAACATAGTGTAAATTACTCCAAGTTACTGCCTGTTGGATCTGCAGTTGATTTCCAAGTGAGGGCCGATCTACCTACCCTCAAGGCACTACATGTCCTCTGACTCTTCATGCATTTCAGTCTTATCCATAGTCCTGATGCTTCAACCTTGGGCCTCCACAAGCACAATGACCTAACTGATAGGACCAATCAGATACCTGTACCAATGTAGACATGGCAGCTTAGGCTGACCCTGAGATGGCTAATACTAGGTGTCAACTCGACTTGATCTGGGATTAACTGAAATGAGAGTGACCTCTTGATTGGATCATTTGAAGCTGGAGGACCCACCCTAAATGTTGGCGTTACCTTTCTGATGGCAGCTGTATAAAAGGCCATGGCAGAAGGAAGCTCTTGCTTTTTTGCCCCTTGCCTTCTCTCTCACTGATGAGTTTGTCTTGCTGCTGTGGCCAACTTCTTCAGATTCCAATGTCTACTGAAGACTAGCAGATCTCCTGGAATCTGTCAGGCCTTCAGCGCCAGATTGGGACTACTAAAACATCCAGCCTCGTGGACTGAGCGACTACTGGATTCTCAGCCTCTCTGGTATGGTGCAGCCATTGTTGGACCACTCAGACTCTAACTTGTAAGCTAATGTGATAAATCCCTAGATACACATAGATTACGCACGCACACACACACACACACACACACACACGGTGAGTTTGTTTTTCTGCTGTAGACTGAACACTAGCTGATCTTTTGGAATTCATCAGACCTTCAGCGCCAGATTGGGACTAGTGAGACATCCAGCCTCATGCACTGAGCGACTATGGAGTCTCAGCCTCTCTAGTGTGGTTTAGCCATTGTTGGACTACTCAGACTCTATCTTGTGAGCTAAGCTGATAAGTCCTTATATATATATATTCATTCTACTTATTCTGTTTCTTTAGAGAACCCTGACTAATACAGACCCCAACACTTAGAGCCTCAATTACAATCTCTGTTCATCCTCACCTCCCTCTCATCTTACTCACACACAGTGAGGCAAGTGGTAAGAGGCTCTGGGCATTGGGGTCATGGAACATGGCAGCAGTGAGCTTTGACACACACACACACTGCTGCTCTCTGCTTCACCTCCCTTGTCTGCCATTCACACATGGACCTTTGCCAGATCTCTGACCTCAATCACAGTGACACCTGGTTGGTCACACTCTGCCTCATTCCAGGGAACTGTGAGGGGTGAGAAGGCCCCTTCCTAGAGGAAGCAGCTATGTATTTAACAGGAAAACTACTTCTGGGACCAAGGCAAGGAAAGGCACTTGTGCCAAAAAGACTGGCCAAGAGCAGCAGCACCCCAAGAACCCCATGGCCTGGATGGGCTTGTGAGTTTAAACAGGAACCTCTCACTTGGTCTTTCACTTAGGAGACAAAGAGGTCAGAACTTGGAAGCCAATGAGCCAAGAAAACTCCTTAGAAAAATGTTGCCTGCTCACAAAGGTCCAGTCCTCTGGGGCTGGAGGAGGCGGAGCTGGGAGCCAGAGGAAAAATGACTCACAGCTTTGAGAACAGCCTTCCAGCCCTGTCTAGGCAGCTGTCTGAGGGAGGATGAAGGAGGGCTGAAGCTGCCTGCCTCCGAGTTCAGGCACGCCAAGGCACCCGAGTCCCAGGGTCGCATGCAACACAGCAAGCACCTGTAACCCCTTCAGGCCCAAAACCTGAGCCTTGACACGCGGCTTTGGGGAGCATATGAAGAAGCACTCTGCTGTCTTGGGATTCTCCACATCCACCCATACAAGGGCTCAGCATGCTGGAGCAATTCCTCCTGCTGCCCCAGCAAGATTCCTTTTTGGTGTTCGAATAAGAACCACAAACCAACAGAATCTAGATACAATACAGCCAGCTCCTACCTAGATTCAGATATCCCTGGTACCACCTGTCCATCAGGAACAAGCAGGTACTACAAATTATCCCAAGACCAGTCTATAGACAGTAATTACTTCTGATTCCTGATTCCCTCTGCTTCTCACTGAGTAGTGGGTTTGCAGTTTTAAAATATGAAGTCAGATACCCCAAGGATGGCATATAGGGGTCACCAAATGCCTGCCTCCTGTGTCCTCCAGAGCACACTGTTTTCTCTTCTCACTCAGTCTCTCTCCTTTCCTTCCTTCTCTTTTCCCCTAAACAATGAGTATTATATATAAAAATTAGTGACTGACATTCTTAGAAAATTGTTATTGGTACAGCTACACTTGGGAGCACTCTATTTGCACAAAACCTAAGAATCATCTGCATCAAACACCCAAATAAAACTAGTATTGTAGCAGAAGGGATTTGGGGTATGCTTTTGCTTTCTCTCTTTTTTTCTATATTGCTTAAAAAAAAAAAACCCTGATCATCTGTGATATTTCTGAAAATCAATTCATTATTTAAGAAACCAGTGAAAGGCTACTGGAGAAATGGCTCAGAAGTTAAGAGCACTTCCTGCTCTTACAAAGGACTCAAGTCTGGTTCCCATCCCCCATGTTGGCTAGCTCACACACCGTCTGTAATTCTAGCTCCAGGGGACCTGACATCCCTTTCTGGCCTCCATGAGCACCTGCACACACCTGTATACACACACAGAAACACACATAAATACATATATAAAAAGTTAAAATAAATGTGGTTTGAATGAGAAATGGCCCATACAGGCTCGAGTATTTGAACGCCTGGTCCCCAGCTATTTGGGGACATCATGGAACCTTTAGGAGGTGCAGCTTTGCTGGAGGAAGCATGTCACTGAGAGCAGGCTTTGCAAGTTCACAGCCTTGCCCCACTTCCAGTTTGCTCCAGTTTGCTCTCTCTGCTTCCTGTTTGATGTTGAAGATGTGCACTCTCAGCTTTTGGCCCTTGCTGCCATGCCTGGTCACCATGATGGACTTATCCCTATGGAACCTTAAGCCCAAATAAATGCTTTTGTCTCTAAGTTGTTTTGGTCATGGTGTTTTAACACTATCACAGAAAAGTAACTAATACAATGAACCTTCAAAAAACTGACAGCTGAGTGCTTTGGATGTGCCAGGGACTGCACTAGGGTGGAGCAGTGAGCATGATGCCCCCTGGCAGGCAGCTCAAGCCAGACACTCAAGAACACACAAACAAGTGAAAACCAGTAACGGGCAGAGTGTAGGAAATGCAACCAGGAAGGGTACTCTAATAAAGTGACATTCAGGCGGAGATCGATGGCAGGAAGGAGCCGACCCTGCAATGTCTGTGGATGGGTACTCCAGCAGGGGAAACACCACTGTGAAGCCTGAGAGGCAGGAAGAGCCAGCAGAGCTGGGAGAGCAGAGGCCAGCACAGATGCAAGCACAAGGCCATAGGGCCCAGGTCACACAAGCAAGGAAACTAAAACAATCTCACTGCAGCTGTGAGGGGAGCTTGTTCTGAGCAGGAGAATGCATGATTTGGCTTATGCTTTAAACAGATCCATCTGGCTGATCAGAGAATGGGCTGGGTAGGAGGCCCAGAGTGGAAGTGGTATCCTCCAAGAAGGGAGGAATCAGTGGTGCAGGCAACAGGTGAAGGGGGCCTGAGTTTCCCAGCCCTGACACTAATGACAGCTGGAGCCAGAGGAGCCTTCCTCATGGGGTTGTCCTGTTCACTGAAACAAAGCAGTGCTCCTGGTGGTACTACCCAATAGATGCCAGAAGCATGTCACTAACATCCCACACAGATGAGGCCCATGGGACTAGGGGAGCAAGACAGGTAAAAAGTGAAGAGAACGTCAAAGTGTTTTGAAGGTGGAGCTGACAGGATCTGCTGATGAACTGACTGTGGAAACTGAAGGAAAGAAAAGAACCACGACATTTCCACTGCAACAGAAGATGATGATTTTAAAAACTAGCTATTTTTCACAGAGACCCACAACTGGTCAACGTGCAGAAAGTAAGAGACTGTAGACAGCTGAGTCCTGAATGGGACACCTATATTAAACCCTCACCTACCAAGGCTCAGGAACCATTGGAAAAGAAGGGGTGGAAAGACTGTAAGAGCCAGAGGTGGTGGATGACAAGAAAACAGTATTTTACAAGCAGAAGAGCCATTACTCATATGAACTCACCGCATGTACAAGATCTACAGAAGCTCAACCCATGCAAAATCCCAGCATGGAGGAAGGGAAGTGGACAAGAAGCCCCAACCCTAGCTGAGGAGCTACTGGCAACTGATAGCTATGGGGAGAGGGAGAATCAGTTTTATTTAAGGGTGTGACACTGGATAGGTGGATGGATCAGGGGATGGTCCCTGTGCTGGATAGCTTTAGTTCTCAACTTGACACACCTGGGTAGAGGGAACCTCACTTGGGGAATTTCCTCCATTGGACTGGTCTGTGGCCATGTCTGTGGGGTATTTTCTTGATTGTTGAGTGTTGTGGGTGGTGCCACCCCTGGGCAGGTGGGCCTGTGTTGCATAAGAAAGCAGGTTGAGCAGTGGCCAGGGGAGCAGGCCAGTAAGCAGCATTCCTCCATGGCCTGTGCTCCAGCTCCTGCCTCCAGGTTTCTGCCATGAGTTCCTACCTTGGCTCCCTGATGAACTGTGACCCAGGAGATGTAAGCCAAATAAACCCTTTCCTCCCCAAGTTGGTATTGATCAGGGTATTTTGTCACAGCAATGGAGAAACAAACTACAACAGTCCCATACCAAAGGACACTTGATGACACAAATTCAACTTAATATGCCTTAAAAATAATAGAGGATATAAAATTGGGCAGGGGATAGTAAGGGAATAGATTGGGGGGGGTCTAAATAGGATCAAAATACATTGCATAAAATTCTCAAAAAAATCAATAAAAATATTTTTTAAAAAGCTAAGTGCATGCTGGAGAGATGGCTCAGCAGTTAAGAACACTGGTTATTCTTGCAGAAGACCTGGGTTCAAATCCCAGCCCCCACATGGCAGCTAACAACTGTCTGTAACTCTGGTCCCAGGAGATCCAACAGCCTCTTCTGACCTCCGCGGGTATTGCATGACACGGGTGCATTTACCTACATGCAGGCAATACATGCATATACATAAAATAAAAATAATAAAATATTCTTAAAAAGCTAAGTGCTTTTACTTTTCATACAAAAGCCACCTTTTTTTATTCTTTAATGCCCTTCCTCCCATTCAGATGGCTGAAATAGAGGAGGTGAGGTCAGGGGGGTAAAACAGTCTTACTTGGGGCTCTGCAGGGTTCCTTGGCTCCAAGTCCTGTATGTTGAGTAGGAAACTACCTCTTGCCAAAATGAAAGACTCAGTAGCTTCCTGGAGAAAAGCCCCACATGTTCTCCCAGGGAATTCCCACAGGACTGAGAGACACAAAGATAGCAGCTGAAGCTAGCACATGCTGGAAGGGTGTCAAGTCACTTGGTTTTCCCAATCTGGTTTCCAGGTGGCAAAGCTTGGGGTGCAATGTCAGAGGATGAGGATTCGAGGGCAGAAGCTACTCAGAGAGGAAGCAGTGTTTCCCATGAGAAATCAATTCAATGGCTTTGGTTTTACCTCAAGTAGCTAGAGTGGACTCAACATCATGGGGCTGGGGGAGGCCTGAAATCCAGAAGTACAGAGACTATGCAGTATATAAAGACAGGGGCCCTGTTAGTGCAGTGCAACTCTGTCTCCTAGGAATGAAACATAGGTGCCCAGTTAGAGAGGATGGAATTCTTAAGTCTCTCATTTAAAATTCCTAGTGTTCTGAGATGAAATGATAATAGGAATGAAAGCAATATACAAAAATGACATGTTGGCTCCTGCTTTGAGAATATGAATTCCATGCTCAGCTCTGGAGACAGAGTTTCTTAGGACAAGAGGGCCCTCCTCAGTCAGTTAAGTGGAGGAGAGAGGCGACAGAGCTAGGGAAGGTAGGGAAGAGCCGAGCGAGCAGATGGTTAATGAATGTTCCAAATCCAAGGCCTGGCTTTCTCTTGAGACCAGGCTAGAGACGAGAGGCACTCCAGGTGTGAGTGGGTACTAACTAAACACCCCAGAGTACAACAGGCAGGGTCTTCTTACAGGGACCGAAGAACTGTCCACATTCCTTGTATAAAGGACTTGACATCCAGAAGGGTAATGCTGGTCTTTGTTCACATTAGACATGAACTATCCCCTTAAAACTCATGTGTTAAAGGCTTGGTTCCTGGTGCAATGTTTCGGGGGTGGAAGTTTGGGGAAGTGACTGGATCATGAGGGTTAGAGGGTACCGACTATGGATTCATTCTGATGGTCCTGTTGGGTGGTGGGAGAAACTAGGAGGTAGGGCTCAGAAGGAAGAAGGTCACTGGGGAATGCCTTTAAAGGGTGTACTTTGACCCTAGTTCCTTCCTCTCCATTTCCCTCCTTCCTGTCCACCCTGAGGTGAGCTACTTTGTTCCACCTCATGCTCCCCATGATGTTTTGCCTCACCTCTGGCTCAAAGCAATGGAGCCAGCCACCATGTACCAAAAGCCTCTGAAACTATGAGCCAACACACATCTGTCCTCCTTCATGTTGTTCAGATTGGGTATGCTGTCATAGGAAAGCAAGCCTGCCTAACAAAGACTTGGAATCAGGCCTCCCTGTCAAAGCCACCCTTGCCATTTTGGAAGTAAATTGCTGTGGGCGCACTACAAAAACTGGGCTTGGAACCCTTAAGTCAATCTCAGGGGTGTTGAATGCACATGAAATTTACCTTTTGGGGGCTGGGGATGTAGCTCAGGGGTAGAGCATTTGCCTATCATGTGCAAGGTCCAGCAATGAAAAAAGTTTTTACCTTGTGCAAATGTGTTTGCAGAGAGGCCTGGTAAAACAATTTAGTGCTATGTGGCACTGTGGATCAGTGATCCCTGTTACAAGTGTTTACTTTTATACAAGATGACTCTCTCCGGCTAGTAAATGGCACCTGTATTATTTCATCCAACCTCTCACTACAATACCAAGAGGAATTTCAGTTTTATGAAACTTGCTCCTGGCTCCTTTTCGTCCCTGCAAACCCCTGATAGTCATTTTGTCAGAGAGACTGCCTGATGCCTTGGCTCTCACCCTTCAGCAGCCATGAGACTACTCACCGTCACCACTACGTAGAAGCACCATACCACGGAGCTGAGATGAAAGACAACCAGCTGTCCAGATTCGTTGAACTTGCTGTGTTTGACTTTGGAGAGATGAAGCCGTTTGCTGATTTTCTAAAGAAAGAAAACTCTTCACATTAATATATGAGCATGCTGATACTGGGCAGATTACAAGCCTCTGTTTCCTCCTCACAAAAGGGTTCAGCACTGATAGAAGTTTGAATGCCATACAATCCAAGCTATTTAGCCTAACCCAACTTGTATGGTGCTTGGTTTCAAGCAAGCACTTTGAGAACACAGGAAGAATAAGACTATTAGCCTCTAAGCAACAAAAACATCTTTTAGTCATGCTGAAAAGACATGTGTAAGACAGACTCGTGAGGATACTGTCCATTTTCCAGACTGCTTTCTCCCAATGTATTACTACCCTTGAAGTAAAATAAGGCTAAGAGAAAGGACAGAATAAAGTGTGGCAAAGAAGTTCAATCTTTCAGACCAGTTAGCAGATGCAAGTTAGGGGGTGAAAGGAATCGCTGTGGTTTTCTCCGAGCTGAGGCCCTCCACCCTAATGGATCCCCTTGGCTTCTGATCTCAGAATCCAGACTTGTCACTTACGTCTAAAATGTACTCCTGAACCACAGCATGCAAGATGATGGTGATGAAGATGTAGAACAAGATGGTAACCAGGTCCTTCAGCCCATAGTGGTAGTGGACTGTCTCGTTGTCTGTGGGATAAGAAGGGTTCCGTCAGCATCCCTGGATGAGGAAATGCTCTAAGACCCCGAAGGGAAAAGAGATGGGAAACATAATGTGCTGCTTAGTGCATCCCGTCTGCTGTCAGCCCAGACTCAGAAGGACGTTTCTGCCTCAGCATCCCTGCCGCACCTCTGGACTTGTTTCTTGGGAAGCCATGGGGAGGGCCATGAAGAATGAAGGGCACGCCTGTATGGTCCTGACTACACACCTCTGGAGTCTGCACAGAAAAGCAGGAAGGCACACTGATCTCCCTCATTGGCAGTGTGTCTGTGAGTAGGTGGCTAACCTCTGTGGGCCTCGGTTGCTGCCCCATGTCATAGTTTTGTCCTTTGTTTCTCCGTGACCACGAGACACCTCTATCTATAAGCTCTTTCTGTGCCTCATTTTTCTCTTCTCTAACATGAGGGTAAGAATTCCTGTATTACATAGGCTTATTGTGAGCAAGAGATTATTATATGTTAAGTGCTATGGGTTAATCCTAATTGTCAACTTGACTGAGTTTAGAATTACCATGGAAACACACCTCTGAGTGTGTCTATAAAACTATTTGCAGAAATGCTTCACTGAGGAGGGAAGACCCACCACGCCTTCCCCATCATTGATGGTCTACCCTGAACTGTGAGCCAAAAATAAACCCTTTCTTCCTTGACCTGCTTTTGTCAGGTCTTCTGTCACAGCACTGAGAAAAGTACCCAACACAAGTTCTTAGAACAGCAAGGGTGGAGGGTATGGCACACACAGGGGAGTGTTCTGTATTTGCTATTACTTGTGCTATTGGGCTACTGTGAGGATTAGAGACAAGCTTTTTAAAAAATATTTTATTTATTTTTATTTTTTGTGGATGAGTGTATTGCCTGCATGTAGGTAGGTGCACCCATGTCGTGCAGTGCCTATGGAGATCAGAGGAGGACGTTAGATTCCCTGGAACTGGAATTACAGACAGCTGTTAGCTGCCATGCAGGTGCTGGGAACTGAACCTCGGTCCTCTGCAAGAGCAGCCAGTGCTCTTAATCCCTGAGCCATCTCTCCAGCCCCTAAACAAGTCAAGTTTAATGCCAGATGCTCATTACACTAAGCCTCTAACAAATGGGAGGTTATTATATAATCGTGTTAAATTAGGCAGGAGAATTTCTTGTTTGTTCAAAGTTCATGGAGAAAAGGTCTTGCTATTTAGACCTTCAACTAGTAGCAATCCTCCTGCTTGAACCTCCGGAGTACTCTGCTGCCCAGATCCCAGCACCACGTGCCAGCTGACACAGGAGAACTTACACCCTGGCTCTAGTGAGCAGGCGCAGGCACAGGGTTATGGGAGGCTGGCACACGCGCCTGCCTGGGGCTCCAGCTCTGTGACCAACCACCCTCCCCTACAGACTTGCTGGCTGCCTTTACAGCTGTGCGGCTGAGCCTGAGTCACATACACATGAGTCATCTCTGCCGGGATGCATTTACCAGAAGGTAGGCCAGGGTCAGTTTGTTTCAGGGTGGCCAGAGAAAAAGGCAAAGCTGAACTGGGTCACTCTGAGAGTCATTGCTAACTTCAGACATTCTGGACTGGGAGAATGGGATGTGCGGCAGTGTCCAGGATAGAGACATAAACTCTCAAACCAGGCACTTTCCTTTTTCATCTCCCTCCTCCTCTCCACAAACACCTACTCAGTGAGAGGCACTGAGCTAACATTCAAATACAGAGATAAAAGTTCCTGCCCTTGGGGGCCAAGTCCAATTGTGGATTGACAAATGCAACAATTATACTACAGACAGGCCCCACTGCCAAGAGGCAGGCACAGCAGCCATGGCAGGCAAGACTAGGCTGCAGCTGGAGCTGGAGGGTATACTGGGGCCACTGGCTAGGAAAACCAGGATGCCATAGAACCCAGAGCCAGGCATATGGTGTGGGCATCACAGGCCCAAGAATCTGCATCTGCCTAGGGCTCAGGACAGGAGCTTGAGATAGGATGAGTGATGGGGCTACCAAAGACAGCCTGTGTACACAAGTGGAGTGTGCCCTTTACCCTAAAGACCAGTACAGGAGTATCAAGAAGATGAATTAAACAAGACATGATGGGATTTGCACTTTGGAAAATGTACTCAGCGGCAGTGAAGAACAGTAGACCTAGAGGTAAGGATGCAGTCAGGAAGTTATCCCATGATCCACTAGCCACAGGACCTAAATTCAAGCAGGAGGAGAGACAGGATGGGAGGAGGAGGGCTGTCCAGGATGGAGAATGGGTGAGATAAGGCACTGACCCACCCAATGGGGAGCTAGCCATGGAGAAGAGGGAGAAGAGGAATATGTATGTGCATGCATGCGTGTGCGTGTGTGTATTAGTTTCCTGCAGGGCCAGGTTGTTTCTCTGCCTTCTTCATAAGGGAGAGGCAAAGGGAACTAAATAGACAAGAGCATATTTTGCAACTATAAAAGAACTAAACGCATGCAAAGTCTCATCAAGACCATCATTAGACAAAACAAGCACAAGTGAAAAAAGTCTAGCGTGGTGGTGCACATTTGCACTCATCTTGCAATCCAAGGAGGCAGAGACAGAAGTATCATTGCAAGTTCAAGGCTGGCTAGGTCCACATAGTGAGTTCTAAGGCATGCATGCATAAGAGAGAGAGAGAGAGAGAGAGAGAGAGAGAGAGAGAGAGAGAGAGGGGGAGAGAGGGGGAGGAGGAGAGGAGAGGGGCGAGAGAGAGAGAGAGAGAGAGAGAGAGAGAGAGAGAGGAGGGATGGAGGGAGGGAGGGAGACAGACATGACAGCATCTGTTCTAAAGCCTCCTGAGGGTTGTTTGCCTATCTTTATTCCAAACACTATGGTCCCAAAGAGAGGTGACCACCACTTTAAATCCTTGAAACAAGAACAAATGTATGGGGCTAGGGATACAGTTTAGTACTCTGCCTGTCTTGTATTCTCAAGGCACGAGCTGGATACCCAACACCAGGAAAGAAATATAAAAGAATGAGGGGCAGGGGAGATCGCTCAGTGGGTGAAGTGCTTGCTACACAAGTGTGAGGACCTGAGTTTGGATCCTTAAACTCAAAGGCAGGGCTGCAGGCATCAGAACCCCAACCAAGCACAAGGGGGTGGAGACAAGCAGAGCCCCATAGCTCAACTGGCCAGCTTAGCCACACCCGAACAGTGAACTCCAGGTTCAGTGAAGAGACTCAAAAAGAAGACTGATTCAGAAAGACCTGACATGGACCTCTGGTCTCCCACAGGTGTTTGCACAGGTCTGTGCTCATGCACACCCATACACACACACACACACACACACACACACACACACACACACACACACCACACACACCCACCCAAGAATACACAGGGACTCTCTTCTCGTGCTTCGAGGCATACACACAACAACAAGGACACTCAGCACACACACACACACCACACACACACACCCCAGAATGAACAGGTAGGCTCTTGTCCTGCTTCCAGGCATACACACAAAAGGAAGGACATTCTGACAAATGCTTCAACATGGGATGAATCTTGACATTATGCTAAGTGAAAAAAAGCCAATTACAACATGACAAGATATGAATTCACTGGCATGAGCGCTCGAATATTCAAATTCCTAGAGACATCCAGGGCAAGAGGAAATGCCCAGTAGCTGCTTAATGGTAACAGTTACAGATTTTCCAAGATATCTATGGAGACTAGTTGCATAAAAAAAATGTGTGAATGTACTTAGTATTACAAACTTGTTTACTTAAAAACGATTAAGATGATAAATTTTGTTCTGTACTCTGTCATAATGAAAACAAAACAGAAACGCAGTGCTGTGATCAGTGTCCTGCAGTGGACTCAGGCTGGAGTCAGGAGCCAGGGCTGCAGGGTGGGCGATCACAAAGGGCCTTACGGACCACAGTGAGCTCTGTGGGCTGCCCTAAGGCAGTGGAAGCCCCAGGAGGATTATAAAGACTCACTTCTGGCCACACAGCAACAAAAGTAGCGATAGGACAGCGGTCAGGTGGTGCCTGAGGGCTCCAGACGGTGGGACAAGGGCACCCTGCTGTAGGGTGAGGATGGACAGCGAGGTTGGAGAGGGCAGATGGATCTGGGTGATGGAATCAAAAGAAGCTGAGACAGCCCTGCTGTAGGAATGCTTCTCAGAAGCCCTCTGGAATTTTACCTGTGCTCTGTAGCCCGTGTTCACCATTTGAGAATTCTTCAGAGAGCATTACGCTGTGTGACCCTCAGAACCATTTTGGGAACTAAGCAAGGAAGGAGGATAAGGAAACAATTCAGAGACTAGAGGGACACGGCCACATATCAGGTCTCCCAGTTTCCAGTGCCCAGCCCATCATCCAAATGTTACCTCAAAGCTAGTGCCACCCTGACCCCAAACCTTCATCACTGGCAATACAGTCCTTTGTGCTCTTCCTCCTACAACCACAACAAACAGCAGAGTCTCAAAAGCTATACTTTGATCACACATCTCCGCTGCTTTCCCCCTTGCCTATTATTAGCTATTCCTATTATTCCTATTATTGATCAGAGGATGAAAATTGGCTTGATTTCTGTTTTCTACAGAGTCATGGGGATTAGAATTTTGTGTAAATAAACTCATACCTGATGATTAGTTTTTATTCTTTTTAAAGTTTTAATCTTTTTTATTCATTTATTTTCATTTTATTTGTAGGAGTGTTTTGTCAGCATGTAAGTGCACCATGTCCATGCCAACACACACCGAGAACAGAAGATTCCTTGGAACTGGAGTTATAGATGGTTGTCAGCAGCCATGTGAGTGCTAGAACTAAGCCCAGGTCCTCTCCAAGAGCAGCCAGTGTTCTTAACTGCTGCACCATCTCTCTAGCCCCAGATTGCTAATTCTTATAAAATGCCTCTCGTTCCCCAAGTTAGAGTCCTGAGCTTTGAGGATGGATCACCTCTGTCTTACACAGGCCCTCATGAAGAACAGCAGTGATGAGCACTGACCTATCATCAATAAGTTTCTAGAAGGG